TTAAAACCATACATACGGGCCATAATAGTCGGATTCGAAATAACCTGCAAAAAACTTTTTGCAATTTCTAATTTATTATCCGCTGCGTTCGTACACAATTAATTCACATATGCATGTAAGTCCTAATTCTAGTTGTGCACAAAGATGAATTAAGCCTGGGCTCTGATGCAAGTTGTCGGGTTCTATTAGGAACGTCAACGATGTGCACATTCGAATCTATCGAAGTAAACCCGAACACAACGTAATCTATAGTTAGGGTTAGGACATTACCGTTTAAAATTTTTGTCGACTCTGAGACATTTTGAATTTCTTCTGTAGGAGATCGTCGTAACCGCAGAGTCCGTTAGGCAGACGGACTAGGCCTCTTCTGTTGGATTCGGGTCGTCGGGACTCGAACGGGTCGTCGGGGACTTGGCAGGTCTTGCTTGGGCTGATCGGACTGGGCTGGGCTGGGTGGGCTCTATTGGATCGCTGCGAGTCGCGACTAGCAAGTGCTCGCGGACAGGGCGCTTGATGAATAATTGTGTATCTCCTCAACTCGATTGCCTCGAACGGTTGCTTGCCACGGCTTCCTTCTCGGCAATAGGTGTGGACGACTCGGTTATTAGCCTTATCTTCTCACGATTTTGAGAGGGTTTGGGTTTTAATTCTTGCCACACAAGATTTGTATGATAAAACTCTCACGAATCTTAAACATACGGTTTTGCTCTTGCGAACGTTTTCTTTATTAACTTCAACATATTAAAATCGAATAACAATGATAAGTATTTATAGAAGCTAAACAGAACTAATCATATACTAACTAGAACTCAAACTATTAGAAGTAAAATAAACTCCTAAGGTAACTAGATATCTAAAATATAAGACTTTCCAAATAACTAGTAGGCACATGTAGAGATGTTAAATGATTCTTGGCCCGACGGGCCGGCCCGTTTAGCCCCGAAAAGAACAGGGTTAGGTCCTTTTATTAGTAGCCCATTTAAATCAGGGCTTTTTAGGCTCGGACCGTTTAACCCGAAGCCCGCTAGGGCTAGCCCGGAACCCGATAGGGCTGGCCCGTTTAACTAGGGTTGGGCGGTGTAAATGTTTGCATTAAGTAAGTAATATGCTCTAGAATTCTTGTATATTACAATTTTTCTATTCCACTTCACATGTAAGTATGAGTTATAATGGATTATTATGATTTTAAAAGATAATTATTAACAATTTTGTTATTGTATAAAATACCAAAATATTTAAGCCAATCAGAAGGACTAATAAGAAACACATGAAACATAGTGATAGACGATAAATAGTAAATAGTTGTTGAAACAATTGTTAATTAGCCGCTGTTATTTTTTTTTTATATTTTACTCTTTTTATTTATTTATTTATTTATTTATTTATTATTATTATTATTATTATTATTATTATTATTATTATTATTATTATTATAGCCCGTTTAGCCCGAAGCCCACTAGGGTTAGGGTTAGGTCCTTTTTGGTAGCCCGTTTAAATTCGGGCTTTTTAGGTCGGACCGTTTAGCCCGAAGCCTGCTAGGGTTAGCCCGAAACTGCTAGGGCTAGCCCGTTTAACATCTCTAGGCACATGCCTTTATTCCAAATCCTAACTAAACTAAGAATCTTAAGATGCTAGGGAAATCGGCCCTTGGTCTCTTGCGTTGCACGCCATTTGGAAACCCTAGACGACGCGCGACTCCTAGTCCTCCGAGGTCTCGCTCTCATCCGCGCCCCATGCGTCTCGCGCGTCGCCGGTCACGTCCCACGCGTTGTTCGTCAAGACACGCGCGCGCTCTCCTTTCCGCTCGCGAGTGGTCGGCACGTGAACTTCAATTCGTCCGTTAATTCGCCGATTGCATCTCAAGTCCTAGTCGTCCTTCGCGTGGTCGACCCAATTGCTAGCCGTCCTTCGCGAGCCACCCGAACCCATCTCTATGTCCCCGTCATCTCTCCGTCGCACCGTCTCGCGCGTACCCTCCTTCGCGCGACCGTGCCTCGCGCTTCCAATTCTCGCGCGCCTCTTCACGCAGCTCACGAGTATTGCGTGTCTACGCTTTGCGCAATTTCCTCGTGTGCGGCCAACACGAGCCTCCTTCGCATATCCCCGACGGTCATCCCGACCATGTACGCATAGTTTGTCACGGGTCGTGCACGTCTCGTCCTTGGTCTCGGAAGGATCGATGACCACATCTTCATCATTCCCGCCCTCTTCGAGAATTTCCTTGTCCTTAAGGATAATGAACTTAAGACTCTTGTGTTCAACTGGTTCGGTTCTCTCGTCACTTGTTTGCAACTTGATTCGCTTTTTGGCTCTTTCGAACTCCATGGTTCCTTTCTTGAAGTTGGTAGTCACGGGTCCTAACATCTCCAACCATTGGTCCCCTAGTACCACATCGGGTCCGGATAATTGTAGTGGATAGAGGTCAATCTTCAATTCTTCTCCTTGCACTTATATAGGCAATTTTTTGAATAACATTGAACTTTTAAGCTCTTCACCATTCGCGACTCTCACTCCAAATGGTACGACCCCGGTCATAGGAACTTCTAACTTCGCGGTGAGGTCCTCGTTGATGAAATTAAGGGTCGACCCACTATCGACCAACACTTCGACTTTTTGCCCCAAAATCTCGGCATCAAACCGCATCATCTTGGGTCCTCGCTTTTCTTTCATCATGTGCATCATCTCCTGTCGCAGATTGATGTATATGTGTGCCCCTTGTTCGTTCTCCTCTTTGGGATCAAATGATTCGTGGAGATAAACTTGCTTCTCTTAGCACCGATGTCCGGGTATGAATGGCTCATTTCATGTGAAACACAATCCCTTCTCATGTCACTTTTGCATCTCCTCGGGACTTAGGCGCCGCATGTAATTTGGTGCCCGTGTCATCTCCGTGGCTTTCACGTCCTCGGCTGGTGGTCGCTGGTCGTCGGTTGTGCTTGTGCGGCGTGTCTCCGTGCGCCCTTCTCCGCGTGTCATCTTGGGACCGCAACCAAGTGATCCTCGTGCATGCGTGCAGACTCCATCACGGCTCGCATCGACCGTGTCTTGTCGAGTAGGACCTCGGCAGCAAGCTCTGGTTTAAGTCCTCCTGTGAACGCACCTACGAGTGGGCTCTCCGGCCATCCGCACACGCGACTAGCGATGCATTCGAACTCTTTTTGGTAATCACGAATACTATCACTTTGGCGTATGCGAGAGAGAACCTCGTCATAGACTCATAGTCGTAGTAGTCGTTTGTCCCGAAGCGTGTGATGAGCTCCTTCTCGAAGTCTCTCCAATGTACGCACGCGCCTTTGCTCTTGTAAACGTGCGAGATCCACTGCCACCATATGTTTGCCTCTCCGTCTAAGTAATAAGCGGCGATCTTGACTCTCTCGGTTTTGGGCACGTCGTTGATGTCGAAATATTGTGAATCTCGACTTAACCATGCATCTGGGTCAGTCCCCGTGAACGTAGGCACTGTGAGCCTCGGCTTCTCGAACTTATCTCCTTGTGTTGGCTTGACGCCCTTGATCTCCTCGATCGTCGATCGTGGTCATCGCGATCGGATTTGGACCCACTCGATCGGACCGAAGTCGAGCTCGACCTATGACTCCCTCAAGGTCGCCGCGTGACTCGTGCAAGTTGTGCGACTAGATCGTGCACCATGAGATCGAGTTTCGCCATGTTCTCATTAGTGGTGTGTTGGCCATCGCCTATGGACTTCATGTTCTCTTCCAACATCTCGAACCTCTCGCGATTTGTCATATTTGCTCTTTTTTTTTTTTTTTTTAGCACTCGTGCTATCTCACGAGAAAAAGAAGAAAAACTTCGAAAGAAAGAAGATAGGAAAAGTTAAACAAAATACATGATTGATCACTCTCAATGAAAGCACCAATGATGAATAATCGTGTATCCTCGAACGGTTGCTTGCCACGACTTCCTTCTCGGCGATAGGTGTGGACGACTCGGTTATTAGCCTTATCTTCTCACGATTTTGAGAGGGTTTGGGTTTTAATCCATGCCACGCTCGATTTGTATGAAAAAACTCTCACGAATCTTAAACACACGGTTTTGAGAGGGTTTGGGTTTTAATACTTGCAACACTCAATTTGTATTATAAAACTCTCACGAATCTTAAACATACGGTTTTGCTCTTGCGACAGTTTTCTTTATTAACTTCAATATATTAATATCGAATGACAATGATAAGTATTTATAGAAGCTAAGTAGATCTAATCCTATACTAACTAGAACTCAAACTCTTAGAAATAAAATAAACTCCTAAAGTAACTAGATATCTAAAATATAAGACTTTCCAAATAACTAGTAAACACATGACTTTATTCCAAATCCTAACCAAACTAAGAATCCTGAGATGCTAGGGAAATCGGCCCTTGGTCTCTTGCGACGCATGCCATTTGGAAACCCTAGACGGCGCACGACTCCTAGTCCTCCGAAGTCTCGCGCTCGTCCGCGCCCCACGCATCCCGCGCTTTGCCGACCGCGTCCCATGTGTTGTTCGTCGCGACACGCGCGCGCTCCCTCCGCGCGTCGACCCGCTTGCGAGTGGTCGGCACGTGAACCTCCATCCGTCCGTTAATTCGCCGATCACGTCTCAAGTCCCAGTCGTCCTTCGCGTGGTCGACCCAATCGCTATCAATCCTAAGCAAGCGCGGACTAGGCGTGGCGCGGACGTACCTTATTTATTTTATTTTATTTTTTAAAAAGCAGCTCATGTGTTTTGAAGACAAGGAAAAATGTTAAAACGAAGTTTGGATAAATACAAGTCTGTTTATCCTACAACTGCGTCTGAACACTCGTCCCTTAAATCCACGTATTATGTTCGCATAGACTCCACGTGTCTCTTCATTGCCACGTACAAGAATAACTTAGTATTAGAACATTGATGATTGATGCACCACAATATATAATCTCTCTTGAAGCTTAATAACATACATACATACATACACACAGATCTTTGCATGACATATCTTTCTTCCACCTCCATTACCCGAACAATGGCAGCTAGGTCGTTGGTCTCAATAAATTTAATAAACAAAAACATTTTGCCCTGTTCATCAGCCTCAATCAGCCCTTTACTCGTCTCTAAAATTCCAAGAACAAATTTTACTACGGCCCAATTTGCTGAACAAAGAAATCGTGTTTTTTCTCCATCTCGGATAAAGGGCCGGGCCCAAGACCCGACTTACCATCAGGAAAATCTGCCGCCAGAGATTCCAACTCCTCCAACTGAGATGCCGCAGAGGCCCAATGTTCCGGAAATTGGCCCAACTCCTCCGGAGATGCCTGCTGACCCACCACCTCTCTCGCCTGGGCCTAACCCAGGCCCAGAGTTTCCAAACCCACCGGATCTGATTCCACCAAAGCCGGAGGCACCTCGGCCACCTATGCCTTCTCCACCCGAGATAGTACCACCTGATGTGACACCTCCTAAATCACCGGAGCCTAGCCCGCCGTATCCCGACGACCCACCTCTGATGATAGGCTCAGATGGGCTGGCCTTTTACTGAAAAGCTGGATAAAAGCTGTGTGTTAACTGAGTTTCATCCATGTAATTTATTTCATAACATAATAAGTGGTCAAGAGGGATTAAGCTTTTTTCTTTCTTTTCTTATTCCTTTTGTTGGAAAAAAATAGTAAAGTACCAAAAGGTTGACAAAAATAAAATTCAAACAAAATAGTATTTAAATAGTAAATAAAATATTAATTTATTAATAAAGGAAAAATTAATAAATGAGATGCAAATAATTTCGATAAGATTGATTTGAATTAACATATATTTAGGTGGAACAAATAAAAGAGTAAGAAAATTTCAATCTTATCTTTAATCTCACAACATACCGTTTAAGTATAAAATATTATAGTATAATTTATTAAAATTTTAAATGTATATTATTTTTATATTATTAATTACATAACTACATATCATAATAAATAAAGTCGTTACAATATAATAGAGTATGAAGTAGGAAAGATGAGAAAAAATAAAATAAAATAAAAAAATAGATAATATAATATAAAAAAATATATTTTGCACATAAATTTATGGATATAATAGCAAATATTAAAATACAAAAGCATATATTATGATATTTTATTATATTTATTCATATTTAGATTTAATTGTTAGAATTAAAATATGAACACAATAATAAATTGATTCGAAAAAAATAATAATGTTAATGGTTGTTGATTAGACTGAATTGGACTTACTGTTGTGAACGGTTGACTGGTTGTGTGGATTATAGTTAGTCAGTCTTTGTTTAATGAATTTCATTAGTACATCTTGAACGTATTAGATGAACTTATGGTAGAGAAGCTTATTTTATACTGATCTAAATAATATACACCTCAGTAATTGTTGCGTTCTCTCAACTCATAAGACAATATAAACTGACATGTATATTCGGCACTTGCTTATTTCATTTACCATGGCTGAGACTTATTCTGGTAGGTCTACAGACTGTATTTTGGTAAGTAATGACCAAATGTATGATGTGCAGTAGAGATTGTTTATGTTCACTATGTCCAGTTCTACTGGGTTGATGATGTCCCCAAAACGAGCTCATGAAAATTATTATGTTAAGCCCTGCAGGTGAATTTGTTTACTACATAATATTAAAGAACTAAGTGGTATAGATTAATTGATTAATTATATTGTCAGTAATTAAATTAATCAACAGACATTAGATCTTAAACATATAAACGTAATCGAACAATTAGCTAGGATCGAATTATTTGTAAGTTATTCTTTGCAAGTTGTGAGTTGTAAAAACCTCCAGACGTATTGCGAGTTGTAACTATATTCTTTGCAAGTTGGCTCGGGTTCATCAAGCATCCAAGTTAAGGACAAAATGTCTGGAAACAACAATGTATTGCCGTCTGCTTTCAGTCCTTCAAAGGCCAAAGCTTAACTTTGTATTGAATCTATTATTTATAGCTGCCATCTTCGAACTGATATAGTAAAAGAATGCAGCTTCGGAAAGTAATGTTGCTAACAGTCCCTTTTTGTCTACAATAAATTTTAAATTCAGTGGGGTTTTTGTACCAAATACCATGAATAATAATGAAGAACATTAAGAGCATGTTTGTTTACAAGAATTTTCAAAAAAAATTCAACATTTTAACTCAACTACTATTTTTTAACTCAATTTTAACTCAATCCCACTCTCATCAATATTATCAATATAATTAAATAATATCAATCAATCATTCATACACACAACATCAACATTAATTCACTATTCATCCACTCACATTATTTTAACTAACTATCACTTTAAATCATCCTTCTCATACTTTACATCAAATCAATTTATTTTATTTTATTTTAAATATTATTTTAATATACCCACTAACACCTAACCATACTACATTTTTCAAAATTAACCAAAAAATGTGAACAAAACAAAAAAAATTCATAAACAAACATGCTCTAAAATTTTGCTGCAACTCTGGACATGTTCTTTACCCCCTTTTCCTCTAGCACAAATGTATTCTATTAATATATCACATTGCATCCCATAATTTATCTGCTTGTAAGTTTGTAAGACCTAAAGGATTGATTAAGGTAATTTACTGAAATTGAACAACCATACACATGCTGTAAAACAAAAAGACAATGTATGAAGTAAATAATAATTAGAAAAGGACCCTTGCCAAAGGTATTACACATTTGGTCATTCATTTTTAATTTAAACATTGCATTTATGACCAAGATTCTTAATTTCCTTCTAAGCTTACACAAGGCCATGGTTGAAGGCAGAAAGAATATCCAAGCAGAATGAATTCCAGCATATCAGTATATGTTCATCTCTCATCTTACATGGAATGATGGGGACTAAACCTGTGGTCTCATCCTTGTAGCGCAAATCCATTGTCTTGGGGTCTCAAGATCATCTCCAGTAACAGTCGGTATATGCCAACTACCTTGTTCAGATTCCTGGGAATCGTTTTTGCAGTAAACACAAGAGTGACTAATCTTCAGATATGAAAATAATAGATAAAGATGATTGAGGGATTATCCTACCTGGATGACAAGTGAATAAGGAGGTGGCATGCGCAAGGTTAGTAGCCCTTTAAGAGAAGGTTTTATCCGGACCTGCAATTCATTGAATTACAAGAACCCAAATAAAAAAAAAAATTAAAAAAATAAAAAGATAAAAAAGTAAAAAGACTGTGAGATGTTTCATAATTTTGATTTGCTTTCATTCGATATTGTAGATTCGTGAATATTTACATGTAAATACACAACAGGCTTCTTTGTTGTTTTCCCTGCATGCAAGATTTAGAATGTAAATGCCTTTCATTTCTTTACAGTCAGTGACCAATTACCCATCACAACGCAACAATACTCTTTTCTTAAACTAATGGCTGTTACTTTGAATTTTTTGGATAAACAATAACATAATAGCCACGAATGAAAGAAACTACCTGATGCTTTTCTTTCCATCTAGGAAAGAAGTTATTGCCTAAAAGATTGAACAAGTGATCCCTCATCTCATCATTTGTAACCAGCAAGCACTTTGAATTCACAGCAGCATACAACCAATACCTATTAACGAGAAAGGGAATGAAAGGGAGAGAGAGAGAGAGAGACAGAGAGTAATGAGAATGCCACAACTAAAGTGGAATGTCTTAGTAACATGATGAGTATTCGGAGATGCATGTAAATTGTAATTCCAAAAGCTAAGATGACTAAAAAAATTACATAAGACAGGAAAGGAAGCTGTAAAAGAAGTTAAAACAGTATATTAGATTCTTTTTATATTAGAACACTTGATGAAAGGAAGCTTGGTCTGTGGAGTTTATCCAAAACACAATGATATAATGAAACAAAGTTGTCTAGTACGCCTATCAGAGCATATGGATTCAAATTTATGTTCTCTCAAATCCTCATGTTGTTTCTCAGACTGACAGGCAGTGGCTCAGTGATTCTATAAGTCAATTGTCATTCAACAAGACTGAAATAAACAACTCTGTTATAGTTGTAATTTTCGATTCAAAGGAAGTGTCTTATCAAAGAAGTCAAATGAAACTGGCACAAAAAAGCTCAATCTTGATTCCAAGCACTTAATAACTTTGAATGACGACATATGTTCTACATTCAAGGAGTCTCAAAAGCTTGATTTACTGAACATGTAATCAGCAGCATATATATATGAATAATCGAGGTGTAATTGAGTAATTGAAAATCAATTAAATTAAAGCATTGCTTACTAATCAGTAATAAAAACAAGAAATTGAGAAAATATATGACAAACCAAAAAAAAAAAAAGAAAAGAAGTAGAAAACTATTGCAACATTAAATAAAAAATATTGAGTACCAATCGTCATTTGAACCCTGAGGCGTCGCATAAAGTGCCCCTGCCTTTTTCCAGCTTTCCAGCAATTTCTTGTTGTTAGGATGCTGAGCTGGACCACCAGTTACTCGGCTCTGATGTAGAACAACAAGTGGTAATTTCTTTGAAGGACTGATCTGACGCATTTGATTCACAACTCTCGCAATCTCCAAACAAGCAAAAACACCGATGTGAATCATTTGTATATGTTGCTCAAGAATATGCTAAGACACATAGGAATATATGCAGTGAAAAAAAACAATTCATTTTTTACCTCAGGGAAACTGAATTTATGTTGATTAGCAAGCCCCAAATTAGCACCATCGATCACAGCATCAAATGGACCACGCTGTCGAAGCCACTCCTGAAACCATTTATTCAGCATTACACACAAAATCATATTCTTGAACCAAAGTGCTGAATCATGTAAAAAGTAGGGAGCCTTTGCAACGAGAATCAGACAGTACATGCTTTCATATTTCAATTAATAAAAGCATAAGTTCTCTTAACATGGATTGCTTCCCTCGGAAACTAAAGGTGTGGAACCCCACCCTCCACCACTTTGTTTGCCAAAATTACATCCACACAACAAAAGGGTTAACACAATTTTTCTTCAGAACATTTTTTTCTTAGTTTAAAATCGCATTACTCGGCTAGCAAAGTTGTAAGCTACAGCCTAATCGATTTCTTAAAAATATTAATAAGAACATGCATGCACTCACATTGATGCAGACTCTTAGAAAACAGTAGTATGCTTACATTGACCCTCAAATGGGGATATATTAAGTCTCAATCTCTAAAAGACTTTTGAGCAACACTTGAACAACATATTTAAACGCGCATCTACAAGCATTTCACCAGTTTACAAACTCTTAAAAACTAACCTAAAGGTTACGAAAAAGCTAATTTCATCAATTAAAAGGTACTCAAATAAAGAACGAGAAATGCATTCTGTCAGATAACACAAGTACACGATAAAACTAACCATATAAGATAACTTCTACTAAAATCATCACACCACAATAACATAATTTGTCGTACACGCACAAAAGCAAGCACATCCACAACAACCTCAAAGTAACAACCACAAAAACAAGCCGATACCTGAAATTTCACAAAGTTTGTCCCAGCTTCTTTCTGACAGGCCATTCTCGACAGCGACTTTGCAAAATTCTCCGTCTCTTCCGGATCAATATCGATACAGACAAGCCTCTCCCCACACGACCCGCAAACCCCTCTCTCGTCCATACTCGTCCTCACCACTCTCCAACTCCCTTTTCCCAACCACCCTTGCCCATGCCACCCACCTCCACCCTCCAAAACTCCTTCCCTCACTTTACCCTTATCCCATTTCTCATTCCCGACTCGCGCAGCCTTATTCGACTTAAACCACTCTTCCACCACAGCTGCAGTCTCCTCCGAAACTTGCCTCACTGTCGACCTCAGCCTATGCATCATTTCATACACTTTCCCATCTCTCTCAGTTTCAGAACTAACTCTTAGAAGAGCACAAAGCTCGGTCTCCTCAGGGGATACCCCACATTCCTTCATGTGCGAGTCCACCTCATACGCCTCGTCAGCAAGACCTTCCCCGCAGAACCCGAACAATGCGGGCCCGTAAGACCGTAGCTTCGGAGCTATCCCTTGTTCCTTCATCTGTCTGACCAAATCGAAAGCCAGTTGAGGATCTTTCTTAGCGGCCGCCAGCCTCGAGACATTGGTAAACGTGGCTTCGTTCGGTACAACCTTGTCGATCTGCATCTGCTTAAAAATCTCAAACCCTTTGTCCAACTTTCCGGCATCCACCTCACCATTGCCAGTGCTGGAACAGAGATAGAGCAATACATTGTAATGATGTACATTGAGTTGGACGTTATTGCCCCTGGCCTCGCTGTACAAGAGAAGGGCGCTATCCAAGTTGCCGCTGCTGGAGCACTGATCGAGGTTCACGCGGAGAATCATCTCTGGGGACTCACGGCGTTCTCTCTTACGGGATCTTCGGGTGCTCGAATTTGGAGGTTCCTGGACAAGGGCTTGAGCGGAAGTGGTGGAATAATTGTGCGTAGCCTTTCTCGCCGTTGAAATGGGATTCTTTGGTTGGTTTGTGGCAATATGCTTGACCGGCAACCAAACGTAGTTGCGTTGGAGATTATTAAAGCATTTGGAATGGAAAAACAGTGAATCGGTGGATCTGGAGAAGCAGGAAAGGAAGAAGGAGGTCTTGTTAGGGGATAAGGACGCCACGCGGAAGAGCATCTCTCTGCGGCTAAGTATGGATTTTGAATATTGCAACTCACTTGGTTGAACAATCTAATCTCGCAATGATCGCCAAGAGCTCCACCAGAATTACTGCGAAACTTCAAGCACGGTATACATAATTGCACTTCGATGTGTTTATTAGCAAAAACTCATCTCACATGAAAAAAATATACAGTTGTTAGGGGAATTTGCTCGACCAAAACTGAAGAGGGGGAAATGATAACACCAATAATTGGCGCCTTCTAAAACCCACTTCTTGAAATAAGAACCCTAATCAGAATGCATTGTACACATACCAAACGAATTTGAACTTCACCAATCAATCTTGTCGACTGAAAAAAAAAAAATAAAGAAAAGAAACGCTTGTTCAGAGTAGCTACAATGAAAATTGTACCAGAGAATAACTTAATTAGAGCAAATTGCCTCCGTTCCAAACCCTAGAGCACAAAAGAGGGGAGGGATACTGAGATAAGATAAGAGGATATTTGACGCTCAAGTTCCAACTTCCATGAGATGGGAAAAGGGTGAAAAAATGAGTCCAACACACTTCATTGGCACATAAGTTTATATTATCACTAGCAGGCTATCGCCGTGCACAGCACAGCAGACCCACGTTAGAATTTTTCTTTCAAGTCAAAAGATTATTTTCTGTAATTGGAAAACAATGGGAAATAATGAAAAATAATAATACATTATTGAAACCATAAATAAAAGATTTGTCACTAAATGTAACACTAAATATACTACATCGATTAGTGTCAAGATCCGGCACGAAACCAGAAGGAACGTGGGTCAATTGCTATACTTGTTCAAACTTCAAATTACACATTAGTTTAAAAGAAAAGGTTTGACACCTGACTGAATGTGGGAAATAAAGAGTACATCCACATCTAAACCTTTCACCTGCAGTAAAAAGAATAATGCTTTTAGTGATGGGTGCAAATGTTTAAGCGGGCATAGTTATTAGGTCAAATATATTATTTCACCATTCCACAGTTAGCACTCAGTGTTTTCACAAGTTTTGTGAAATATTGAGTTATTTTTATAGCACAAAATAGGGGAAAAAGAAAGAAAATGATAGAGGTTAGCCATCCCAACCCTAATTTAAATAAACTCACAAATTGTATGGCTGTAAGAATTTAAATAATTTGATCTAAAGTGAATGTACAACATGAACCAAAATTTTATGTGTTAGCTAACATATTCATTTATGGTTGACAAAAGGTTTAGTCTGAATGCTTTCTTCATCTCACCAAATTACTCCATCAATCCTAAGAATACATTGTAAAGATAAACAAGAATAATTAATTGACATACCAAAAGTGTTATATGCAAATTGTCATGCGTTTTCGACTCTGTACCATCTATTTATTCAGAGCCACAACTCGTGTTGTGAATACGGTCTTTGTAAAAACAATTTATCCATGAATCATAAGAAAATGATTGCTTTTGCTATACTTTGGTTTTGTTAGTGGCCCAATGACAATCAAGTTTTCCCTTATAGCTCCGAAAACGACTCAACTCTCAACTTTTGGAATTACATTTGTTTACCAGTTCAGAATGCATTGACATTGCAGTTTCTAAAATGTGCAAAACTGCATGACACACAAGTACCATAGTATAAACAATTACGAAGTTTAACTCTAGATGTGCAAATAATCCAAGATAAGACAATGATATGTGAGATAATGTTAGAGAGGTGTGAATAGATTTTCCGCACAAGAGATACTTACAAAGTTAATGAAATATCATATTTCTGATATGTCTCCTTTTAGCAAGTCTTGTGATATGGGTAGATCCTTGACATGGAAATTGCAGTTTGAAATTTTCAACATTGATTATTTAATTTAACAAAGTACTTATGTAAACCCTTTACACATTTAAACATGTACCAGTGGTATATTTGTATATTAAAAAAAAGTGTGTTGGTTAGGACTTTATACTAAGCGAACATGATTCCAAATTTACAGGCAAAATATCATCCTCTCATCAAAATAGGTTTCTGAATCATATACACTTGTATGATTGACGTTTCTAAATTGCAAAATTTTCTCCAATCAAGCAGAATATGAAAAGATTTTAAGCATGCAAGTCTAAATATATACCATCAGAACTCCTAACACATGAAGTTTGAGAAATTATATATAATTGTCGGCAAGTTGTTAAAGCCTTAAAGGTTTATTTTTTTTATAGTTTTCATGATTCAGGCTTACGATCTTATTATAGCTTTACAAATCACTTGAATTCCTTCACATGACAACAACCTATAAGTTATTTAGCAATGTTTCATGGATAGAATCACCGTGCCTCATAGACTCATAGTCCGATATAAGTTGCCTGTATCCATGGCATATAAAACATTCTGGATGCCAGACAACACTCAGAAAACTTAAAAATGTTCCATTGCCAATTTCCATGTTACAACCAGCACAAATCCTACCACAACAGATGTAAGTAAAAATGAAGAAGAGTTTACCAACGAATATTGTGAAAGGGTGATGTATACTGATGGAATTTAAGCACGTTGTCTTTGAATAAGCTTATTACAGCAAAGGTCAGAAGTCCAAAAACCAACTGGAAGTAGACCAAGGCGCCAGAATCATTTTGCTTCAATTTTTTTTTTTTTCAAGTAGTAAAGTGCTATGTTTTAGGCTTGACCATAAGTACTAAATAATTATATAACAAAAAAATTAAAACAAAAGCATCATCTTCCAGACCTTTTATACCTACAAACCTCAATGTAATGTTATTTTTATGCAACAGGCGAAAAAATTTAAAAGCCAGTCAAAAGATGCACCATAGATGCTTAAACTCGGATTTAAAAATGTCCAAGAATCGATTTTCCAAAATCGAAAACTCACAGCAATGGATTGCAGCCACAACAGCCTCTACCTTCTGCTGGATGAGCAGGCCCTTGTACACCCAAGTTATTCTCGATTCATCCCTCCTCGTGTGTGGCCCGTAGTCATCCAATGAGCCCTATGGAAAGAGTCGAGTAAGGTCATTAGGAGAACCCTAATAATTTAACCTAAATTGCAAAAGTACTAAAATTAAAAAAGAAAGCTTACCTAGGAAATAGCATCGACACCGTAACAGACTCCTTGTGTCCATAGACTCCATGCCATCTAGTTTTGATACATCGGTCCACAGGTGAAGAAAATTGCACCGTTGTTCACGTGTCCGCGCTTAAACCTTAACCACCCTTCAACAAAACAATGAGACCCAGACCGGAAAAAAAAAAGTGGACAAAAAAAAAAAAAAAATATTGTCGACCACAATAAAAAGCACGTATTAAAGGAATACGTTTTCATTTAAAAAAACCGTATTCAGGTAATACGTCCTCAGTAATAAAACGTATTAATTGAATACGTTTCCCTAATAAATAATTTGTTAACTTAAGTAACGTAATTACCTTAAGTAAAACAAGTTAAAACGTATTGGCTGAATACGTTTTATGCCGTAAAAAAATAAGAACGTATTAAGTGAATACGTTTTCAAATTAAAATTAGGTGTATATATATTTTTTATTATAAAACGTATTTACGAAATACGTTTTATAAAAGAAAAATACTTTTTACAATTCCTAAAAATAATTTTTCTCGGGACAAAAATTTCGAAATGTAAACCGTATTTCATAAATACGTTTTATATGTAATTTTGCCCCGAATTGATTTTTGGTGCCCTAATTTTGCCCCAAACCCTAAATCCTATATAAACGTATTCATGAAATACGTTTTTTGTTTTAAAAAACTGTAACGCGTATTTACGGAATAAGTTTTTATCAGAAATCCTATTCAAATTGAATATACCTGTTCACAACCAAATACACCTGTTCGAGCAACTAATATCAACATATTCGCCCAATAATAATCCAACATATCATATAAACAAACAAATGAAACACAATAATTTGTCGAACAAACAATATATACAAAACGATATATTCGGTTTATACAAACAATCCAACAATCCAAAATAAACACAATTCCACGAATTCAACACTACTAACTAGGAAGGAGTGAATGGTTTTGTAGGCCTGCGCGGTCTGGAACCCCTCCGAGTATATACGATTTGAGCAGAAGACGAAGGTTGAGGTGTGAGAATTGTGTCAGTTTGAAAAGCCTGCTCAATTTCATCTTCTTCATCTGAATAGTTCAATTAAAAAAAGAAATCATAAATTGGATTGTAAAAAAAAGAAAAAAAAAAGAAATTGTTAATTTAAAAATCTCACCTTGTTCAGGCTCGGGTTGCTCAGGTTGGATGTGCTGGGCTGACGGCTGAGTGCGGGGACGGGCCCGAGGTCTTCTACCACCACCAATGTTGGGGGCGGGTTGATGCCTGGCCGTGTGCGACTGTGTCCTCATGGGAGCCATGTATTCGTCCTGGGAGAAAACTTGACTGGACGGCCCCCCATGTGGAACACCCTGGCCCCCAACAGTCAGAGAAGAGAAGGCAAAGTTGTACGACTGTTGGAAGCCGGTCTGCGCTTCTGGAGGGATTTGAGGCAGTAAGGGTTAAATGTCCGATAATGCGCCATAAACCCCTTGCAGTGCAGAAGTCTGTAAATAAATTTCATAATAATTAGTATAAAACACAAAAATAATAATAATAATAATAATAATAATAATAAACACAAATAATGAACACTTACCTGACAGCCTAAGCGCTCGGCAAGTGGCTGATACCCGCCCGCATGCTGGAACACCGGGTAATTGGCAGGATTATTGATGAATCTCACAGTCCTGCTGTGAAACCAATCAATGTAACCCTGCTCCGGCTGCAGATAGTCGTGCACGAGGACAACTGGGAGGAGACGTTCTAGTTCTTCGGTCCACGAGGTCAGAAAGGGCACATGGAATGCGGCCCAATCGTAAAACGCTCTCCCAGTCATCCCCTGACCCTTGTGGTGTGCGTCCCACTCTCGCTCATCCAAAATGATCGGATCGTGGGGTATGGACTGCCGGCACCCAAATTGACGGAGGACCCTGTCAGGCAGGTGTACCTCCCGGATGTTCCAGCTGAAAATCCACCCCCGGTACATCCAAAATTGTGGATCTCTTGAGCACGCCTCCGGGAGAGTATCATCCTCCAGGTGTTGCCGATATGGCTGCCAGTCAAACTGTAAAAAAAATAACAATTGAATTAGTAATTAAGTTATTACAAAATTATAAACAAAAAAAGAAAGATAAATGAAGTAATAGAAATTAAAAATATTACATCATACTCTCCCAGCCCTGTCAACTGATCCCGGTAGGCGACCAATGTAGTTGCTATGTTCGACTTCTTTTTCGGTCCCACCCACCTTAAAAATCAGAGAAAAAAAAAGGTTGTAATCACAAAATTTGGTAATGAAAATAATGTACGGATTAAATAAAAATAAAGGTTACCTCGCTCCCAATGGACAATCGGGCAGAG